GAGAAATGCTCGAGCCCAGGAGGCTGAGGCGGCAATGAGCTGAGCCGGCACCACTGCACTCCGGCCTGGGCAACACAGTGAGATCCTCCCTCAGAAAAAAGAAAAGGATGAGCAGATAAAGGCAAAGGGAGTTTGTTCCAAGTGATCCTGCTATTAGGGGTAAAGTAGAAATCAGATTTCGGGTCTGTCTGTCTAAATCCTAGTTGATGAATGAATCAATTCTTCTCCCATGTTTTCCATGTTGTCTCCCTGATATTGGACTCAGGAGACCCGCTGTAGGGGGACTCGGGTGTGAACTTCAGCAAATAGAGCATGCTTCCCAAGTTCACATACAACCCAATGCGTATCAGTCACCCATCAATTTATCTAGTACACTTGGCCTACTTCCACAATCAGCTTTCATAACCTGTAAACAGTAAAATGTCCTATGAATTTAGAAAAACATAAAATAAAACCAAGGCAGTTTAAAAGAGCAGAGTAATTGTTACCCAACATCTGATTGCCCCAGCCAGTGGCTGATTTCTAATCACTGTGTGAAGAGCTCCTTCCTTTCAGTTTCATTAAACTTGCTTCCTTGTAATTTAAAGATATGTTTTCTGATTGTTGGTGTCCAGGATTTGGTAAACTTGAACACAGACATTCAGGTTTACTGTCTTTCACAATGGTGTGGGCCTGGTGCACATTCCCTGGGCTTCCCAGATCAAAGCATGTCTACACCTCTTGCCCTGTCCAGAGACATCAGGCAACTTTCCTGAAATGAAACTACCTAGGTTTGCAGGCTAGTTCTGGATTTGAATGGACTATAGCTCTGTATTACTTCGTTTTCATGCTGCTGATAAAGACATATCTGGGACTGAGAATTTATAAGGAAAAAGAGGTTTAATTGACTGAAAGTTCCACATGACTGAGGAGACCTTACAATCATGGCAGAAGGTGAAAGGCACATCACACATGGTGGCAGACAAGAGAAGAGAGCTTGTGCAGGGAAACCCCTTTATAAAACCATCCAATCTCATGAGACTTATTCACTATCACGAGAACAGCATGGGAAAGACCCGCCCCCATGATTCAGTTACCTCCCCCCAGGTCCCTCCCACAACATGTGGAAATTGTGGAAACTATAATTCAAGATGAGATTTCAGTGAGAACACAGCCAAACCATATCAGGCTCTTTCTCCAGCATTTTCAGTCTTTGTATCTTGCCTAACTTATTTCCTGAAAACAAACAAACAACCACAACAACAAAACCATTCTCCAAAAGCCCCATCTCAAAAAAGAAAGAATTTTTTTTTTTTTTTTTTTTTTGGGATGGAGTCTCACTCTGCTGCCCAGGCTGGAGTGCAGTGGCGCAATTTCAGCTCACTGCAAACTCTGCCTCCTGGGCTCACACCATTCTCCTGCCTCAGCCTCTCAAGTAGCTGGGACTATAGGCATCTGCACCACCATGCCTGGCTAATTTTTTTTTTTCATTTTTTAGTAGAGACGGGGTTTCACCACGTTAGCCAGGATGGTCTCCATCTCCTGACCTTGTGATCCACCCCGCTCAGCCTCCCAAAGTGCTGGGATTACAGGCGTGAGCCGCCGCTCCAGGTTAAGAAAGAATTTTTTACTGGCGCAGGTGCTCCTCTATCTGCCATCCTGATTCTCTCCTTTCACAGCCCATTTACTAAGATCCTTTCTCAGAACCCTGGAATTTAGCAGTATCCTGGCTGGCTGTCTATCATCTGTGTAGGGCCAGCTTGGTAGCCATAGGAGCTCTACAGTCATACAAGGCTCTATACCTAGGAGAGTCCTGTGCTTAGTTTAATACTCACTTGGCTGTCACCATCTAAAAAGTCTTATGAACGTTAGAACAAGTGTCCCTGTGTTTTCGTTTTGCACTGGACTCGAACTTGTCCATTAGTCTAGTGCCATGGTGCACTTCAGGGCTGGTCACCATTCCCCACCAGGCTGTCCCTGTCTTGGGTTCTTTGCTGGCAAGTATCTGGAACACTCACACAGTCAGCCACTGCTCCTGAGCCTCCCTCGCTGCTGTTATGTTCTGTTTGTTTCTCTCTTCTCCTTCTGAAATAGTTTAGCATCACAGATATCCTCTAACTCCCTACGGCACTGCTGCTCCATACTCCCTTCCTTTGCATTGCCTAGCCTTGTCCTAAGATGCTCCCATGCTCTCATACTGGCCTTTTCTTTCTCTTTGTTCTCTTTTTGGAGTTCACACTACTCCTAAAGCTTCATCTATCACTTCTATGGGATTGACTTTTTTAAAAATGGTGTTTTCCACAACGTTTCTCACCACCACGTTAACCCTGAAGTTCCAGGTACTAATGTGCTTTAACTCAACTCTGCCCAGCAAATACACTCAGCAAATAGAAAATCCTACTCTTCACTGCTCTCTTTAAACTGGTGCTTTCTACAGATTTCTTTCTTTGATCAGTGAAACTCATTCTATATGAGACCCACACTTCAGTATAATTTCCAAAGTGTTTCCCATGGCTACTTCTCTCATCCAGTCTATTTTTTTAGTCTGCATATATTAACTCTTCTAAAAAAAAGAAAAAAAAAAAAAAAACCCATTGTTGCAAATTTCCCAAAGCCAAATTCATCACATCCACAGCTACACCGTACTTTTTGGTGACATCTGAGCCTCCAATGGTTGGAGTTAGTGAAAGCTCTAAGGTTTTTCTCTCACAACCTCAGATGGCACGTCATAACGAAAATAAGCCTCAGACTGAATTCTGACACATACATACTTATTAGTAAGTAGGCACGAATGGCATCCAACAACCTGTTGTGTTGGAGTCATGGCGCCCAGCTCTCATCCTTTCCAACACTCTGTTTTGTGTGAAATATTCCCTCGATGCTGATGTGACAATATTCTAGCAGCACCATTCAGCTGACATTCTAGTTCAAGTCAGGTGACAAAAATCCGTCCAGAATCAGCTAAAAACAGTCAGACTTGGAACACTAAGCCGAGGAGCCTATTCCAAAGGATGCTGGAAATTAGGGCTCACTGGATTTTTCTCTCTTGTTCACACAAGGGCAGGATTGACTGCATAATATTCCAAGCCAATCCACATACGTTTCTTCATCAGTTTTATTTAGGAAATATTTTAATGATGTATTAAGGACTGATGCAACCACCGGCTGAAAAATAAAAAGACTAATACCTCGAAAGGAAGTCACATCAGTGGTGCTTCCAGTCCAAAACAAACTTCAGCTGGAATAACCAGAACTCTGGAATCAATGTTCCTTTGCTTCCTGTTCACATTCACCTGTTGTATCTGTATGTGTTCCCAAAAAGAGCATGTATGTGCATATTTTTAACTGTTTAGAATTTTGTATTTTGTAATAATTTTAGTGTGACATAAAAGTTACAAAAGTCACACAGAGTTCCCATACACCTTTCAATCAGTTTTCCCTAATATTTTCACCCTAAACACATAATAAATTAACAGAACTAAGAATTTTTCACCAGTGCCATTGTGTAAGCTCTACTACACACTTTGTTCTGATTTTTCCTGGTTTTCCTAAATATTTTTTCTGTTCCTGGATCTAATCTGAGTTTTTTACTGTGCATTCAATTTTCATGTCTCCTAGCCTCCTCTAAAATCCTCCAAGGCAGTTCCTCAGTCTTCTCTTGTATCTCATGAGTATGGCTTTTTAAAGAGTACTCATCAAGTCATTTTATAAAATATACTTTGATATAGCTTGGTCCGATTTTGAGAAAAAAAAATATATATATAGCAAGAATATCATGCAAGTAGCATATAATCATTTAGGTGTATCACATCAAGGAGTTCAAGATATCAGAACGTCATATCACAGGTGCTGTTGACCTCAATCACTTGGCTGACGTGGTATCTGCCCTGTTTCTCCCCTTTAAAGCTACTATTTTTTTTGTAATTAATATATGTCATAAAGGAGATTCTTTGAGATTATTGAAATATCTTCTTTTAACTTTTAATTTTTGTGAGTACATAGGCGCATATATTTATGGGTGTATATATTATGCCTGTATCAAATGTCATCTACCCCATAAATATATATACCTAATATGTATATTTTCGTTTCAATCATTTTTAACTTAAAGATATGTTGAATGTGCTCTTTGGGACTTACCGTTTTTACTTACAGTAAGTTATTAATATTTCTTCACATTGTTGTATGTGGCTGTAGTTTGCTCTATTTCATATCTGTGTATTCATTCAGTTTCTGGTTAATGGACACATTTAGGTTACTCTCAGTTGTTTTTTCTCTGTTGATACTGCTACAAACGTTCTTGTACAAGTCTTTCGTTACACATATATGAAAGTTTTTCTTGAGTATAAATTGAGTTGTGGAATTCCTGGGCCATTAGGGTAAATAAAGGTTTAGGAGAAAATGTCAAATTGTCCTCCATCATGGTTACAAAAAATGAATTATCTTTCCAGCAATGTAAAAGAGCTGTTTTGTGATACACATTTCTCCAACACTTCGTATAGTCCATTTTTAAATTATTGCCAAGTGTATGGTATGAAATAACATCTCAGTGTCACCTTAATTGGCATTACTGTGATCATATACAAATCAAGTATTTATTGACTATGAAATGTGTTTTTGCCTTTTGACCATTTTTCTCTTGGGCTAGGTTCTTAATGATTTTAAAGAGCTTTATGCATTTTTGACATGACTCTGTATAACTTAAACACTATTAATTTCACCAATGGAAAGTCATCTGCCTTCTCATAATAACCACTATGTAATTGAACAAACCGTCTGAGTATCATGGGAGTTTGAGCACCACAGAAGGGCTTGTTGTGATGGCCTCCCCAATAATACAGGCCTTTGTTGACTTCATATCCCTAGTCAGTATCTATTAAATGGTTAGCTAAGTGCCCCTTGGCTATAGTTAATTGGTTTAATTTGTATAACCTGTTTACATATACACATTCACATGCACAAGCACACACACACGCACAACATACAACACTGCCTAAAATGAATGACAATGTAGCACTCACCATTTCTGATCCCATTGAAACCACCCTGTTGACCCACACCAACAACTTTGGTGAGTTCCAGCGGGCTCCTGCTTCCAGTCTCTTTCCTTCTCAGTGCAGCCTGCGCGGTGACTCCAGACTCTTCTCTTCATTATCTAATAATACAAATGAAGTCAAAATGCCTCAGTTCTGCCCGGGCCTAGCCTTCCTTCCCAGGCATCCCTCCTCCTGCTTCCCACAGGCGCAGAGCCTCAGGACGTGAGCTCTGGCATCAATAACTCTGTCCCAGCCTGAGAACTTGGCAGATGCATGACATGTCAGTCAATCACATACCGTGATGAAAGCTTGGTTTCTTCTTCCCTAAAAGAAGGAGAATCCCAGTGACTGTCTCAAAGGCACATAGAGTCCATGTGAGGAAGAAGTGAGGTAATGTTTTTTCAATGTTCAGTACAATGTCTGCAAAACAACAATCAATGAATGTTTGTTGTTTTTATGTGGCTATTATTGTCATTAATATTGCACTTCAGGCTGCACACGGTGGCTCACGCCTGTAATCCCAGCACTTTGGGAGGCCGAGGCGGGTGGATCACTGGAAGTCGGGAGTTAAGAGACCAGCCTGACCAACATGGAGAAACCCTCTACTAAAAAAAAAAAAAAAAAAAAAAGCAAAATTAGCTGGGCACAGTGGCGTATGTCTGTAATCCCGGCTACTTAGGAGGCTGAGGTAGGAGACTTGCTTGAAGCAAGGAAGCAGAGGTTGCGGTGAGCTGAGTTCACGCCACTGCACTCCAGCCCGGGCAACAAGAGTGAAACTCTGAGCATCCTGTTACTCCCTAAATATTAAGATGGGGATTCACTTGGCCACTCCCTTTTAGCATCTCTGTAAAGACATCTTACTCAACTGTGTGTATAATGGGAGAGAATGCTATGATCTTCAGAATCCTTAAGCACTTTGCTAACACTTATTTTAGAACACTTATGGCTAGCAGTTTCTTATACAAACACATTCGTCTCTCTGTTGTCTGTGTGCTGCTTGAGAGCAAGAACTATTATATTACTCATCTCTTTTTCCAGGATCTAGAGCCAGGCCTAGAACAGAACAGGTGTTCAGGAAATCTATGTTGTGGGAATGTCTTCCTTCTCTTCTTTTTTTCTTTTCTTCCTCTTTTCTAATCCAAAAAAATATTATTTTTAATACCCCCATGGAAAAATTCTTATAAGAAAGTTACTTTTGTCTGTAAACCTTATAAAACCTCATGATGTCCAGACTGGAAACATTACAGTTTTTTTGTTTTGTTTTGTTTAAAAAAAAAAAAAAAAAAAGCCCAAATAATGATTTATTGATTCATGCCTGTTTCCATGAATAGGTTAGCATAATTCTTACTAATTTTCTTTTCTTCTTTTATTATCTAAACCCATAAGTAGCAGGGACTCTCTTATGCTCCTTACAAATTGCCCCCAACCCAGGCACAACATACCCCTTGTCTATATCAACTGGGCACGGCCGTCTTGGCCTCTTGCCTACCTCTTCATTTCTCCTCTGCCACAACACATCTGAACCTCACCTTTCTCTTTGTCTAAAGTTACCAGTTTTCCTAGGTCACTCAAGGTACAGATTCCCTGAGAGTTTAGTTCTTATTCTGCCTGGCTGCTTTTATGGGGAGAATGTTCCCAGTCATGATGGTGCTTTCTTGCTTTGAAGTTCCAGGGAGGAAAATAAAGGAAGCAGACAATCCTTCGATGCTCTACTGTGGTCAGAGTTGCAGTGGGGAGGGGAGGAGACCCACACATCGATACACTCGTGCTGCCGTGGTTCTGTAACATTATCATGCATTCATATGGTATCCAGGGATAGACCATATTCATAAATATAAATTATTCTGTAAGTTCAACTTTAACGTCTTTAAATATTACCTTTTCCATCATCCTTTCATGGCCTGAAACAAACCAAGGAGCACAAGTTGTCATGTTCTGTCTTATGTCATTTGCAATCACAATCATTAGATCATTTGATTAATTTCATGAGCTAGAAGAGTCCATTCAATGAACTGTGCTCATATTCAGGGTCCTAGAGCTCACATCCATCACCATACGTGCTCAGACATGATGTAGCACACTCACATTCACCTAGGTGAGGCTTTTCCTCAACATCCTAGTCCAACCCTTCATTTACTCTTAAGCTTCAAAAAACATGTGGGGAAAAATCAGACAACATCTATTATCTATTTTTAAAAATCTATTATGTTAAGGGTAAAAAAAGGAGGTAGGGTGATGAAAAGAGAATAACTATATGCAAATGATGTGATGACTGTGTGCATAATCATATTCTTGGAACTCATTACTCAAGAGTTCCAGTCTACCTCTGCTCCGCGATTGTGTGTGTGAGGATCCAGTGCAAGAGGGAGGAACTGCCCCAGGTATTTGGAACACAGAAAGGTTTAATACAAGGAAGTGGGTGCCCATAAAATCACTGGACAGAACAAGGAATGGGCCTGCTGCTGGGCTCTTGGCAGCACTATAGAGAAGAGCCAGAGAAGAGGAGGCTGCCCCTGACTCCACTGGCTCTGCTGGCTCCCTGGAACAGGGTGTCTGGACTCAAAATGCACTCCCATGAGACCCACCTCTTCGCCTTCAGAAGCTGCAGGAGGTGGACCACAGTTGCTACTCCAGATCTGCCTTCCAAATCTTCCACAGGTTTTTCTGACTGTGGCAGGCAATTCTCAATCTAATCTCCAGCTGCTGACAAGTATCCTTTGCAGTTTCCCGACTTCTCCCAACAGAAGAGGTGAAAGGCGGTGAGAGAGCCGAGCCACCGTGCAGTAAAATGAATTGTTTCCCTGTTGTGCAGAGCGGGATTTAAGCTCAGGCTCTTCTCTACCACTCCCACCACTCAGATTGTTCCTTCTGGAACAATTCTGTTAACATGTGAGCTTTGGTTTTTGTAGCGGCAAGGTATTGTCCTTGTCCACTTGTTGGAAGTATTGAATATAGTGCACATGCAGGACTAGTATAGTGCCTGGAACAAGGTAGGTACTTGACATATTGAAATTCTTATTGTCTTCCCTCGAGAATGATACAGTAAAACTGTCGGTTACAAACACTGACCAAGCACCAGCTACCTACTTGGATGCTTTCATGACCCCATCCCAGTTAATCACCGTAACAACCCCATGGTGTGCATCTTGAAATATCCATGTGGTTGGTGAGGAACCAAGGGTCAGAGAGAACATACAGCTGATCCAAGGTGAAGGCAGGGTCCCCTGCTCTTGCCTCCCCACCCAGTTCCAACACACACCCACACCGTCTGAATAAAATGCCACCTATTTTTCTTATGCCACTGTAAAAGGGCTAATTTTTCTTTCTTTCTTTCCCCGACACTGCTTTTTTTCTTTTCTTTTCTTTTTTTTTTTTTTTTGGAGTCTTGCTCTGTTGCCCAGGCTAGAGTGCAGTGGCACAATATTGGCTCACTACAAATTCTGCCTCCTGGGTTGAAGCCATTCTCTTGCCTCAGCCTCCAGGTAGCTGGGATTACAGGCGTGTGCCACCACACCTGGCTAATTTCTGTATTTTTAGTAGAGATGGGATTTCACTATGTTGGCCAGGCTGGTCTCAAATTCCTGACCTCAAGTGATCCACCTACCTCGGCCTCCCAAAGTGCTAGGATTACAGGTGTGAGCCACCACGCCTAGCCAGAAGGATTAATATTAACATCAGACTCTTGCGCTCACTCTCCTCCTCATGACTTGTAGGAACGGAGAAAGTGTGGCATCTGTGATCACAGCCCTACTGTCTGCACCCTTCTGCCTCACTCTCCTTTCTTGATCTCTTTGCAGTTTTATACTAAACCATTTCACAGTTATTTTGCGTGAACAGAGAATCTTCAGCTGTGTCATTTCTTCCTTCTATCCCAGCCTTCCAGCCCAGCCAGGAACTCATTTGTTCGCTGCAGGGGCATACTTCTATTAGTGTCTGGGCTTGGCACCTGATAAAGACTGAGCTTGGCACCCTGATAAAGACTCAGAGATGAACAAAGCTCAGACTCCGCCCTCAGAAGTCCACACAGTCTTGTGAGGAATGAAAGGATGCGCACCCAAAGGACTGCAGTGACATTTGAGAAAACATTATTAAAATGCTTGACCTCAGACTGCAGAAGCTTGCATGAGTGAGTCTGCCCCATGACGGGGAAGAGGAGGCAAGATCGGGGGGACTTCACACAGAAAGCAACTTTTCTAACAGCTTTATTGAAGTGTGATTGATATGCAAAAACTGCATGTATTTAATGTGAACAATTTAAATTGGATGAGTTTGAATATATGTAAACACCTGTGATACCATCACCAAAATTGAAGTAATAGACATAGCCAACACTCCCAAAGGTTCCTTGTGTCCCTTTTGTTTAGTTTTGTGTTTGTGGCAAGGGCATGTAACATGATATCTGCCCTCTTTACAAATTTCGAGTTCACAATACTGTGTTGACTAAAGGCACTACACTGCATAGTGTAGCACAGATCTCTAGGACCTACTCACCTTGCAGAACTGAAACTTTATACCCACTGAATAATTCATTTTGTCCACCCATCCCTCCACCCCAGCTCCTGGCAACCACTGTTGTATTCTCTATTTCTATAAGTTTGACTATTTTGTCTTTGTTTTGCTTTGCTTTCTTTGAGGTAGGGTCTCACTCTGTTGCCCAGGATGGAGTGCAGTGGGGCATTCAAGGCTCACTGCAGCCTTGACCTCCCAGGCTTAAGCAGTCCTTTCACCTCAGCCTCCCAAGGAGCTGGGACTACAGGCACATGCCACCAGGCCAGGCTAATTTTTTAAAATAATTTTTTGTAAAGACAGAGTCTCACTATATTGCCCAATCTGGTCTTGAACTCCTGGGCTCAAGCTATTCTCCCATTTTGGCTTCTCAAAGTGCTGGGATTACAGGTATGAGCCACTGTGCCTGATCCAAGAGTTTGACTGTTTTAGATTCCTCATAAAAGTGTAATCATGCAGTGTTTGTACTTCTGTTCATAGCTTATTTCACTTAACAAAATGTTTCACAGGTTCATCCATGCTGTTGCAAATGGCAAGATTTCTTTCTTTTTTAAGGCTAGGTAATATTCTATTGTATAGATATAGCACATCTTCTTTACCCACTCATTTGTGG